AGACTTAAATTTCAGCATTGAACCAAAGGAAGTGTTACGGGTTAAAAAAGTGGAAAAGGGAGGGAAGGAGGGAGGGAGGATGGAAGGGAGGAAGGAAGGGAGGGAGGGAGGGAGGAAGAAGGGAGGGAAGGAAGGAAGGAAGGAAGCAAGCAAGCAAAGAGGAGAAAGAGAGAGAGAGAAAGAAAGAAAGAAACTAAAAAAGGGAAAGCAACTACATGACCCTTCTATACTGCCCTTAAATAAGGCAATTGTTTGACAACTCATTTGGGTAGAATAAAAGTAATAAAGTTGGGAAGAAAAACTGAAGGAAGGGTGATCTCAGTGCCCTGAGTTGCCAAACTCATTTTTCTTTTCTCAGTAAATCATTGAAGCTAGTTGTTTTCATGATTTCACAGTACCTAAGTGGACTTGGAGGTAGTTACTCCATACGTTTTTAATGCTCCCTCTGGAGAGTGACAGGAAAAACTTCCTACATTCTATTACAAACCCAGCCTATTGTTACTCCATGGTTTATGTGAAGAAGCCCTTAAGGAATCAACCTATGCTGAATATTAGAGTTAAATTTTTAATTGTGAAGGCAAGACTCAACAAATCTTTTTAGTGGGTAAATTTCCATGATGGTAGACCAGCAGATTAAAAGTCTTTGAAAAGATGGATCTTCTGGAGGCAGGATTTACATTTCAACCACATGTAAAATTTTAGGCCAACCTACTTTCTTGCACCGAGGGTTGTGACATGTTCTGGGGAAATGACTACGGGTTTGGGAATGCTACACTTCCCTCTAGTCTATGTCTCCTCCGTAGTACCTTCACATTCTTCCTATTAAAGAAACATTATTTTATTACTAGCAAAATGGAGCAGCCATATCATTTTTGAGTTAATATAAAAATGATATGGAAGAACAATACATTACTTTTATGTTATACTTATATACCCACCTTAAAAACATGGTTTTCTCACTCATTCTTATTGCACCATTTAGACCAAGTGATTATTAAATCACTTAGCGCAAATGTATATACCTCGGTAAGTTTACTTTTTATTTACTTTTTCATTTTTCACATTTGCCTTGCTAGAAAATTACATAGAAGCCTACAAGAAAATTCTCATTGGGATTAATATTTTAAATATTTCTTTAAATTTAAAAGAAAATTCTCCTTTAAAATATTCTTCTATTCTTTTTAATATGACCTTTTTACCTGGGCAATGGTTCTGTCAGGACACCAGGATCTGATAAGGAGAAGACGTCTAAAGCAGTCAAGAGATTTATCATAGGCATTTGGAAGAGGTTCCTCCTCAGGGTTTTCCTTATCAAACCATATTTTCCACATTTTCTCATTTCTTGATATCTGAAATACCAGGGGGTAAGAACTATTTCACACCACAGAAAAATATTTCAGTAATAGTTCACAGATATTTTTCATCAAACCTTCTGACCATTCCAGACATGTGTGAGTGATGTCCTTTGATATTTTTTAAGTGTTATATTCCAGTATAGTTATATTCTAGTATAGCCAAAAAGTTTGAGAGTTTAAAATCAAACTTGCATGATTTGCTCGTGATTTGCTCTAAAGTCAGTCTGTATCAACTCTAGCCTATAGCTAGCTTTCAAACTAGGGAGAGTCCTGGGGTGTTTAATTTCTTCTACACCTTTGTGGTATAAAAACAAATTTATAAAGAATAAAGAAATCAATGGAAACTCATCTTCATTATTTTAAGGAAATCTGATTTTCTCCATGAAATCCTTTCATGATCAGGAAGCAAATCTCATTCACTTACATGTCGTCATTTCCCAGGACCACTCTTAGAACAAAAAAATACATTTAATACATTCTTATTATTGAATGAAGTTTTTTGGTCAATACTCTATTAATCTAGAGTAATTTGAAATATACCATTTAATATCATCATCAAATGAATAATCAGACACTTGCTTCCTTTAGGCAGTTGATAAAGGAAAAGAACACAGTCCGTTATCCTTTGGAACTTAAAAAATCAAAGAGAGATGAGCATTACATGGGAGAGCATCTCAAAAACATAGAACAAACAAATAATGTCTGCAGATAAACACAATCTTATGTTCTCTGGTACATTCCCTTTGATTAAAGCCCCAAGAGTATTTCTTGAGGTCTAATCAAAGAAAAAACCATTCAGGTTTGTATTTAGAAAGTATCATGTAAGAATAAAAAATAATAACCTCCTTCAGTCATGAAAGACTACATAATGTGGAGGGATTGCAGGCATAACATGTAATCTCCAGGAGATAGCAACTTCAATAACAGATAATGGTCTGGGAAAAGGGGAATAAGCCAGAGTGCATTAAAATCTTCCAAATGAAAGTTATTTAACCCAAAAGAATGGTTTGTACTCTAATTACATGGTAATCACCAGTTGTAAGCCAAAATATAAAAATATAGCAGAATTTAAGCTTCTGGTCAGCTTAAACCGGGAAAGTCAAGAACCAGCCTTAGGACACTTTCTGGTCAAAAGGAAGCCTTCAACTTGTAGCTGAATAAAGCCACCTCGTTATCAATGTGATTTCTCTCTGATCATCCAATTTTCAAGAACCTATTTCCTGGCTTGTCCCAATTCAACTCTCTATACCCAATTTCCATGATCCCAACACATACACAATTGATGGGAATTGACTGATTATGCAAGAAAAATAACTTCTAAAGAGAAGAGGCCAAGTGTTTGCATTCATACCCAGATGCCTAGCTAAGGCAGGAGAATGGGAGGAGCAGGAGAGGAAGAAGACGAGATGGAGGGACAAGAGGCAAGGAAGGATAGCTAGCGCTTAGGGGCAAGCTGTTCATATTTCTTTTCATTTAATCTCTAGAAAAAAAGCAACAATTCCTAAGTACACCTAATGATTTAATCTACTTGAATCTACCAGTTTTTCTACTTGTAGATCTCCAATTGGTGATACTGACATACGGCCCAGGATAGCCCTAGTTAAACTTTCTGCGCAAATAATTTCTTCCTGCAAGACTGGTGTGCAATGGGTGAAGTATGCTTTATCAGAGTGTGAGCGAGCTGTGAGGAAGGTCAAGCACAGGTAACACCATTTTAAGAGTGACAATATTAAGAAATCTCTCTCTTTCACAAATATTGTAGCTAGTGATAAATCAGAAAGGTGCTCACGGTCATTATCTTATGTTTATTCAAAGCACAAGTTACCTGATCAAGGATATCTGAAAACTGTCTAAGTTTGCTGAGTTCCACCAAATTCAGCCAGGTCATGTCCAGGATCCATTTAGATGGCTTAGGAGGACAAGCTTTAAGGTCCAATGAGGCACCACCTTCCAAATTAAACACATAAAGTTATCAGATTTTTCTTTCTTTACTGTAAAACATCTATTTATAAAAACTTTTGCTTTAACTATTTTAATTTCAATTATTTTACTACCTTGACATTTATTAAGCTCAGAAATATAAATCATAGTGATGAACAAACTTTAAAATTTAGTAAAGGAATAAATGATTTTAGAAAAACACATTTAAGAATCAGTAATATAGGTTTGGAGCCAAGAAGATGCTGGATTCTGTCCTAGCTCCACCTGGCCAAGGTCTGGGTTATCTGTTTGAGCCTCTGTTTCCAAATACGTAAAATGGGAATAATTAAGCCTGGGTATTGTGATGATGATAGAATGACAGAAAATATATGTGTAAAGCACACAGAACAGGATCAAGAACACATCAGAAGGTCAGTGAATGAGCACCTATTGTCAATATTAAGAATTGCCCAATGTTGGCACAAGCTCATTTTAAGCAGAGAATTTATCTAGAAATGTTAGTATCACTACACATGCTTGAAGGGTTCTCTTCTATAAATCAGTATATTATTTACATCCATTTTGAGCACACTCCAAGGGCCCTGTGCTATATCACTTACATTTGGTCAATCTAACCACAGCAAACATCTCCACTGGGTACTGACTGCTATCTTTTTGCTGATGATTTACCTAAGTTCACGTAACTCATATAACTCTCACAGCACCATAAAATAAATGACACCTTAAAAATGTTATTCTTGCCCATCTCAGAAAACCTAAATGTGTGAACAATCATATTTTAAGTCAAAGAAAGAGTCAGTAAGTCATCTATAGGATAAAATATGTTGTTTAATAAATAACATCTATTAAAGTGTTTCAGGGAAAATATGCTGTAAGTATAATTCTTAAAAGGATATAACCAACCCACTGGGCTACTTTTAAAATCCTTTTCTGAACAGAGGAGATCATAAACAAATAATACTCAAGCTATTTATTGAGCCGATCTCTACTTCATCCAGGCATCATGGATCCCATTAAATTGCTATCTTTTGCCAAATCCATCTTAGTATATTTCCAACAAGGTAAGTGTGGCCTTGAAGCCATTTCAATGAAAATATTAGCTCATAAAATCAAAACAGATTGCTTTAATGCCAGGGAGCAGTTAAAGACCTAAGGACAATGGCATTGTGTTGAAAAAGGTCACACCAACTTCCATGGAGACTGTCCATTTTCCAACAAATTGAAAAGAATAAGGTATTCACCAGGTGTTTAGGGAGAAGCTATTTATGGAAAGGAAAGGGTGTTCCCTGCAACCAAAGCATCATTCATTGTTTAGTTGAGGGTAACTGTGACACGAATATCTTGCCTGCCTTAAAGGTATACAACGGGCCACAAACAATGATTGTAATGGTGGTTGGCATATTCCTGGGTAGTATAGCACCAGATTAGATGGACTCCAGATAAATAAACAGCTGGGATAGGAATAATTCAAAATAAACTCTCAAGATGATTGAGAATTATGCCAGTCCCTTCATTTCTCAAACCCTTGCTTTGGGAAAAAGTGGGTTTAAATTTTTGCCATAATACTTTGTAAAAATGATACGTGCTTATAATGAAAGATGTATACATTATACCACACAGTCACAAAGTGTCATAGCTAAGGCAGACTTAGAAAGTTGTCTAGGCTGATCTTTTTGCATCTTAGAGTAAATTAAAAGACCAGTATCAAAACACTATGGCTATCTAAATAACATTTTTGAACAAGAGATTTTAAATTCCTTACAGAGGGAGTTCATGTCATTGGGTAGCTCTCACCAACATAACTAGCAAAGGACATCTTACAACCTAACTATGTTCCAAAGTTTCCTCTGAAAGTCTGTTTCATAAAGCAGCATTATATTGCTGTTGAATGCCAAAGGCCCACAGAAGCCTGCCCAACCTATGCAAGCCTCAGACTAATTGAAACAAACTAAAACACTAAAGATAATATGACAATGCTTATCATTTGCTGAGCATATTCTATGTTCCAGGGTTTACATAAACTGTGTGAATTCTCAATAATCCTGTTACGTAGATTTGACTATCCTTGTTTTATAGATGAGAAAACTGAGGTTTGAAAAGGTTAAATAACCTGCTCAAGACTATTCACCAAGAAAGTGGCAAAGCCAGTATTTTCACTTAGAGTCTTCCTGACTCTAAATCCCACGTTTGTTATCATTATGCCAAACTATAACACGCTTTAAGTATTCCAACCAGACCTGGATGCTATGTTCAATGTCATTTCTTTCAATAGTCTTCCTCTAAATGCCCCCAGGACCAGCGCCCCCTGCCCACTTGTCTATCTCTCAGGCAGGCCTACCCCGTTAGAGATCCCATTAAATATCCCATTTAAAATCTTACACCTCCCCCACTCCACACTACCTGTAACTCCCCACCTTCCTCACCCTGTTTTGTTATTTCCATAGCGATTACTAGCTTCTCACATACTACATAATTTACTTATTGTTTTATTATGTATCCCAAGTGTCTATTCTGTGTCCCAGCACACAGCAGGTTCTCGATAAATACCCATTCAATAAATGAACAAATAAAATATCTCATGTTAATGCAATCTTCAATGAAATGCAAGGAAACTGTTATAGCCAGAAAAAAAAAATACTGCAGAGGACCTTCACAATAATTCCTACATCTGCACCTGTGTACAAAACTTTCTATTGTTATATTGACCTTTGATAAGAGTGAGAAACTCTTCATGCTTGACTCGGTTCCTCTGGATGTCAATCTTCAGGGTAAGAAGCAAGGTGAACAGGAATTTGTGCTCCTCATACAACCCCCGGGCGGTGTATTTATAAACCTCATAGGTCATGTGCTCGATGATATTAGCAATCCTCTTGCTTGTAATTGGGCTCTTGACAGACCTGGAGGAGAGAACATTTACATCAGGCTTATCCCACTGCCTTTTTCAATTGTCCATAAAACAACATCGTTAATGGAGAATAAGTAAATTTGGAGGACCAATTCTTATTTTTTACACATCAAGAGTAAGCCTCCTAAATCTAAAATAACAAGCATTCTCTCAACACGAAATAACATAACAGGATCCTAATGTTGTCTAAATCAATTTCACCCGCAGGGCATTATCACTCACAACAATGTCTTGGGGAATTTTCTTGTTTAACAGAATCACAAGAAACCAAAGGAATCAATCAATGAATGAAGAGTTGGGAGAGCTTTCTCTGAGCATAACATGACAAATGAGAATGATTTGTTAACACACTGGTAATTACACTAATCTTAGATTACAAAAGAAAAAGACTTTTAGTAGCAAAGAGAAAGGAATTTGTTAACATAATGTCATCATTCTAGCCCACAGATATAGAATTCAGCTCAGCTTCCTGAGTTCAGACGTACCTGGCTAAGGAAAGGTCAAACAAGCCGAGAAACTGACGGAGCGAAGTCTGATACATCTCATTAACCAAGCGCATCTCGGTGATGAGAAAGTAGAGGATGCTGCCCCGTGTAGCCACTAAAAGACAAAGAGCAAGGTTGCAGGGTGCTATGACGGTGGAAAATAAAAGACCCATGCACATATCAGCCTAAACTCTAAATGAAAACCACAATTTTTACTTTTATGTCTTCTTAATGACTATCGACCAGCAATGGGAGTCGAGAGAAATGCTCATGTATATATATTTAATTCTTACAAACATTGTGTAAGTAGTCTGCTATGTGTGTTTATCAAATGGTCACTTTCCATTTTAGAATTTCTAAATCTCTTATAAAAATTATTTTACTGTTTTTTATAATAAAAGTAGAAAAGACAACCAAAGGGATAGCAAAGATTATCCTACCCAACAAATTGTGTCGGCATCGTAAGGATCTCATTCTTAAGCTCCGTGAAGAAGCCTTGACTAATCTGGGCCTCAAGTTGGCAAAACAAGGCATCGCAAAGACGATGCTCCTGACTCTCCATCAGTAGATGATATTGTTTTGATTATTTTTCCAGGAGGAATGATAAATTACTAAAGGAAATGGAATTCTTTCAGCAGGTTCCTCTTGTAACCAATGAACAACATTGATTTGCAAATTGGTGGATAAGACTGAAGAGGTCCCGTGAGACCAGAGAACCATCTTCCTAACACAAAGACTACAAATAAAAGGCTGGTTCACCATTACCAAATGACAAACAACTAGTGCACAGCCCTAAAATGTTGCAGTAATTCCTCAGTTTTCACTAATTTGTACTTAGATGTTCTTTAAAAATTCTCCCTCCTTACTTTCTAGTTTAAAAATAAGTTCATAAGAACCTTAAAGGATTTGCCAGCTATAAGGAACTACAAGCACCTAGAAAATTTACACCATTATAAAATTTTTTCATCTGAATATTACTGAATATTTCCCAAAGGGAACATAAGTGGCCACCCCACCTCACACGGTCATTTGCATAACGTCCTTACTTCCTTCAGTTTCTCTCATTTTCTTTCTTTCTTCCTTCATTTCCCTGTGACATTTGTCTTTCATTATCAAACTCACCAGGTCTATATTCCTCCCGGGCTGAGTTAATTTGAATTTCTGTCTCGGCCGAAATTTCCAACTTCTGTGTCACCTCCTCGGCTGTCTTTTTTGTGTTACTCAGCACAACAATGAGACTCTCATCTTCCACCAAGGACCCCTGGGTACTGGTCAGGCGGTAAAGCAAATTATCTTCTAGCTCCTTCATCCTTCTTTTGTTTGCAGTTACATCTTCCATAAGATGAGTTCTTTCTTTCTCCAGTTCCTGTTAATTTGCATAAATATATTGTCTTCCTTAATTAACAATTATTGTTTGACCACTCCTTAAAAAGTGAACCTACAGGGCTGCTCGAAAGCTCCTGGGCTGTACTTGTTATATTTGACTGCAGGAAATATGGACATCAAAATAAGAGGAGGAGAACTGATGGAGGAAAGAAGAACTGGCGGCAAACGACATGAAATTGGCTAAAAATATTACCAGTATGCCCTTTACCATCTATTTATTTCCTAAAGTCAAATCATTTTAAGTGACTTTTGTGATTTAAGCTTGTTTCAAAGGTGAAAAATATTTGAAAATATATTGAAATATATTTGAAGACCAATATATATGTCTCGGATTAAACACACTTACTTCTGTTTAGTTTCTTGTTTACAAGAGCCCTGTTGTTTGAATGAGATTACCTTCAACTTGCTAGTTGAAAAAGTATCACTTCTGTGAAAAGCAACTGTCTAAAGAGTTAGGTAGGCCATCTGTGCTGCTCCTGCAGGTACCTTCCAATTAAAAAATCATCTTAGCTTGAAAAGGTGCTGTGCACTCCAAGAGAAGTAAAGTTCTGTATCTTTCCAAAAGGACCTTTATAGGTAGCTGGGGAGAGAATGGCTCTGGAAGATTATTGTCCTTGTCGGCTATTTCTTCCTCTTGGTAGTTTGGAGAGGCAGAGACAGTGGAAGAGAAGGAAAGAAAAGATGAGGCTGGTGAAGGTGGGTAAGGAGGAAATGGCTATGACACGGAACACACCAGAGGAAGCGTGAAGCCCAGAGGCTGGCAGACAACAGGGCAGATATGCTCCTGGCACCAAGTCAAGTTGTGCATGAAAGTCAAATTGTTTTAGGAGAGATTCTAACTTTGAAGCTAAAAAAAGAAACAAAAAGAATTTTGAGAAGAAAGGACAATGAGTAAATAGTATTTAAAAATTTGAAAAGAAATATACATTAGCGAGTTCACTTGAAAAGCTTTCTAAATATAGTGTCCATTGACAAGGTATCTATGCTTAGCCACATTAATAAAATAATGCACATTTTGGCATAAATACAAAATGGGAAAACTAGGGTTAAATGCAGGTGACTTCAACAATAAAATCACAGGAAAGCATTGTTGGTAGTTCCGGTTGTGATTTGGTGCAGCCACCTGGGCAGGTGGTACCAAGCTCAAATTTCTAGAGCACTTCAGAAAGGTAAATATTTGACTGGGTATTCTGAATATGGTGCAGTAGGTTTTATAGATTCTACTCTCAACTGACAGAACTAGAAACCTAAAGTTATGCAGTGATGAATCATAAGAAATCATATAAAATACAATGGGATTACTCATTAATAACATAATTAATTAGGTGACTTACCTTTGTTCTGATCCAGAACTCACACAAACATCAAGGGAAGGGAGAGGCCACATGTAGCCAAAACTGCCATTGCTGATTGCTACTCAAGTTATTTCACTTTAGTGCTTAATACATTTACTCATTTTAGGACTTTCTTTTTGAATATGAGAAACTTCTCCCCATAACTACCCCACAAATTATGTCTTGTTTCAAACACTATCAATACGCTGATAACTCCCACACTCATATCTCAGCTCTTCATCAGCTCCAGATCACACACCCTTCCAATGTCTCCACCCGAACACCTAAGAGATGTCTCCTACCAGCACCATCAGCAAAATGGAACTTCTGATCTGATCCCTGCAAACTTGCCCCACCCCGGCCTTCCCCATCCCAGCAAACAGTCACCCCATTCTTCCAACTGCTCAGGCCAAAACTTCAGAGCCCTCCTTCACAGCTTCCTTTTACTCAAACCCCACATCCCATTCATCACCAAATCCTATCATCTCTACTTCAGAAACAGGTTCAGAATCTAATCATTTCTCACCACTTCCACTTATCCAATACCCTGCTCCAAAGTACGATAACTTCTCCTTTAAATTATAGGATCCAAACAGGTCTCCCTGCCTCCACTCTCACTCCCCATAGTCTATTCCCAACCCAGCAGTGAGAATGATGCTTTGAAACACACCTCCTCTCTCCAAACCCTCCAAAGACTAACCATCCCACTCAGAGTAAAAGCTAAGACCCTTACCAAGGCCTGTGAGGCTCCTTCTTTATTTTGCTCTAGCCACACACAGTCTTCCCTAAATCAGTAGTTTTCAGTAGTCTGGAGCAGGGCCCGGGAATTTGTACTTCTAACATATTCCCAGTTGATGCAATGTTGCTACTCCTATTCCGGGCACCACGCTTTGAGACACAATGCCTTGAACATATAAAGTACTCTCCTGCCTCAGGGTCTTTGCACTGGCTGTTGCTCTGTCAGGCCTGTTCTCTCAGATAACCCACTCCCTCCTCTCCTTCAAGTCTTCCTTAAATGTTACCTTCTCAGTGAGCCCCACTTTCACCACACTGTTTAAAATCACAGCCCACTACCTGATTCCCTAGCTCTCCCTCTTAATCCACTCTATGTCTTTCTTTTTAATAGCATTTACCACTTTCTAACATAACACACAATTTACTTATTAGTTATGCTCCAAGAATTTTTTGATTCATTGATACATTCTCCAATTCTTAGCACAAGCCTGGTACATAGTAGATTCTCAATTAATATTGTGGAGTGAATGATTAAATGCTATACCCATTTCAAACGGATAAACTGAAACACATAGTGAACTAGAAAATCTAGTCATGTTTAGTGCCAGAAATAGACATGAAAATTCTCACAGTAACTGAAAACCATGAAGTTAAGATTGTGGTAACAAAATTGCATGAAGGCAAAGAGCAAAGACCGCTGGCCTCTTCTGCATGTTCCAACTAGTTAATCACCACTGGTTGAACAGTTATGGTGGGTAGAACCCTATCACGGTCCCAACTCATGCTCTGAGACAAGTGAGTCAGGTCTGGGGACATTCTAGAAAAGAAAAAAATCCCTCTTTAAGCTAAACAAAAGCTGAGAATTTGCATTAATTCTGAATTCTTTGGGATGTAGCAACTCAAGCAAAACCTGCTCTTCTCATCTTTGCTTCCATCTGTTATTTGGTTACATTTGAAAACTTCCTTAGTGGTTATTTTAATTCATTTATTCACTACATAGGAATCTCAAATTTGAAACAATGTAGAAATTAGTACAAACAAGTGACATTTAATGGCTCCTATAAAATTCCTCTCCATAAGCAGTTATAACAAAAGCATTCACACTATGGTTACACTAGGAAATAAAGTGATAATAAAATTAAAGGGAAAAAATTCAAATATTTTTTATTGCCATATTCCTAAATTTCACACACTATTGTTTTTGAGTTCCAAAAGGTGAGCCTTACAAAAGTCCTCATTCAGCAGACAGGTAAGGGGAGGAATGTAAAGCACAGGGAAGAGGGAAGGTTTTGATGTCACGGACACATGTTTGAATCCTAACTCCCAGAACTTAGAAGCTGCAAGACCTTGGCCATGTTACACAACTCTATAAGCCTCAGTTTCTTCATCTGCAAAATGGACACAAAAAAAGCTCAGAGAGTGATTGTGAGGATATCACCAGAAAAGCAGTTAAAACAGTCACTGGATCATGACAGCAGCTCAGAATGTGTCTCTTCCCTTCTATCCCCTCCTTTGACTCATTTCCAGCATGGACTGTCAGAAGCATGATAATGTTTATTTAGAAACGAGTTTGAAAAATAAAATTATAAGTTACGACAAGATAAATCATACTTTAGAATTTCACATATCATCATAAAAGCTTAATAAAGTAGCTGAAAAGGGTTAAAAAGAAAAAGAGAACTTTCTAATCTTGTACTTACGATGCTAAGGATGCATGCTTTCATGCCTGCTGGGGATGAGACGCGGACTATCAAATCTAAAAACTGCACCAAGTCTTACTGAGTCTTCCTGAATAATAATTTTTCCTCTGTCCTTTTTTTCCAATTACATAGTCGCTGCCCTAATTTAAGCTTTAATTATTCCTTAGTGGACTACTCTAACAGTAACTGGTCTCCTTGCCGATCCTTTTCTCTGCCATCACCCCTTTTTCTGCCCCTAGTCATTCTGGGGATCTTCCTTAGCTATTTGGAAAGGTCCAAAATTCTCAACATAGTTTGCAAAACCTGTTACAACCTACATTTCCAGTCTCATCTCCACTTCAGAACTATGGGATTGGGACTAAAATTATGTCTCCATGTTGCTTATGAAAACCATTATTAATAAAATAAACACAGTTATTAGTAATATATACAAATAAGGGGCAAATTATTTAATTACTGATTTAAAAAGTAGTCAGTCAAAGCCTGGACATTATTGAGATGGTTGTGGTCAATTTAATATCATTGTTAACAACACTAATTAAATAAATTTGTCAATTAAAGTGACGCTTATATTCCCAAAGGATTAAAATAAGGCTAAGAAGTACATTTCCCCCAAAGTTTGAAACTGATGAAATAATATACTCTAAAGTAAATAGTACAATTTAAAGTAGTATTTGGGGTTATGAAAGCAAACTGTGTATTAAATAGCACACCAGTGGCCAAACACTACAACAATAGTTATGAGAAAAAGAAAGTTCTCTCTGAAAGAAAATAGGACAATTGCTGTTTGCTTTTCATTCAAGATATAAAAATGGAAAACCTACTTTGGGATAAGGTTTTAAGCATATTTTCTTTTGTATGACTGATTTAAACATATTTCTGTTGAAACATATTTCTACGACTTTAGTTCCATCAATATCTAAGAAGATAGTTCTTTTACAAATTAATATGAAAGGACAAAGTTAATCCAAGTAATTTTGTCTATAAGCATTTTTCCCACCAAAGGGATTATCTCTTAACATAAACACACGCAAACACACACACACGGAGCAGTAACCATTTGTGCTATGTATTCCATATACTAAGGCTACAATGTAAAATTTTATATAACTTGGGATAATGTAAACAGTATCCCCAAAGTGAGTAAGAAAGTACAGCAGTGATTCAGTGCAATTTCATGAAACATACTAGTTATTAATTAAATGATCAAAAATTAAGTGGCTCAAGAAACATGCAAATGAAAACTAAAATTCGTTATGAACATAAACTGCATCTGTAATAAAAGTTTTGAAATCCAGAAAAGGAAAGAGATGACAGCCTTTCAAGTTCTCATTTTTAAGGTGTCACTCAGGCTTTCATTCCCAAAGATTCTCTCTCTTCTGTACCTTGCACTGGTAATTAAAATGGAAAGATTACACAACAGAACTCAGAAACAGACTTATGTTTTCTCCACCACCAGTGAGCTGGTGATAACAACGTCTGTTTAGTGTCTTTATTACATTACTTCCCATGTCAGTTCCACGAAGCTCAGGTCCTTCCACCTCCAAAGGAAATAAATCAGACACCCGTTTGCTCATCCGGAATTCTGAACAATGAAGACCCCTGAGGCCTTGTATTGTGAGATAAGTAGAAGCTATTAATCAATATTAGTATTTTTCTCCTAAAGGTACATAGTTCTCTTTGAGTTTCTGTCTTGTTCTCTAGGATCAAGGTGACAGTGAGCCTAAGAGATTGGGTTTCTTTAAAGGAAAGTTGCTGGAGGGCTACTGGTTTGCTGCCTGCTTAAAATGGTTTCCATATACCACCTTCTGGTGACAACAGCCAGCTGTTTAAACCTACTCACAGCACGTCAACAATTGAACACAGCCTTGATGTAAACTTGAACAGCTCACGCATTTGCAACGACTGCCTTGAAGCACACAGAAAAGTGTAAAGTCAGTTAAAAATCTGCCTTCCTTGCAGTCATACGTTCCGAAGTTTCCCTTTGTTTCTGAAGCAAACAAACCCAAAGTTCCGGCAGGCTGTACAGTTGAGCAGTCATGAGAGCAGACTCTGTGTGATAATAAGGCTCCTCACTGCCCATATTCCCAGGACACTGGAGAGCTGGTAAATTTATGGAATCAAAGAAGAATGGCCTTTCCCTTGTATCATAAGTTACTGTTCCAAGCCGCCTTTCACAAGAAGAATCGACAGACCAGTGAAAGCATAACTCATCCTGACTGAAGAGGTTCACCGTTTGTTTCAGCCCCACATTTAAGGGAAATTCCTAGTTGATGCTTTCCAACATCAACTTCCTACCTGTGGCATCTTCCTAGTTTCCAAAGCCCTCCCCTGCTTGGTTCAATAACATTTTATATTTATAATCACCCAAGAAGTAACCATAGTCAGAGAGAACCCTTTGTCACTGAAGTCAAAGGAATAATTAGTGATTAGTAATTTGCTGCAGAGAAAAGAAAATACAGGTTACACATTGTATAATAATGTGGTTCAAGGTAAGATGACCCTCTATTATTATAAGAGAATAAGTGTCACATTACTCTGGCCACAGTTTTCGTAAGAATTATTTACTGTGAGCCTGGAATAGATTCTGATAATGAAACAATAGTCAAGGAATAATTTCTCAAGACACTCAACTCTCCCAGGAAGTAAGGAAAAGCCTGGCCTGGGAGCCATATTGGCTTTTCAAGGTTGTTCAAAGTCTTTTCAAAGGAACTTAAAGTGCTCCTTGCCTCATCTTAAACCTTTGCTGTAATAATTATGGCTCATTGCTGGAGCTGTTCTGTTTTGTTGCAACCAAAACCTATCAGGCCAAATTATTTTTTCCAAGGAGACTGTATTCATCTCTCCTGAACAGAAAGAAAACCAAGGACAAGGATACTATTCAATCTGCCGTCAGAGCCCCTTATCTCCCTGAAACCAACACCACAGGTGAAAGCAGAGCCTGAGCTATGGGTAACGGATACTGCCCCGAAGACTCCCAGGGATTCCCCTGCTCAACATGACACGCTGTTGATCAGGAATCCCAGTCCTTCCTGAACTAATGACATGGCGGGGTTAAACTTCCTCACCCACCTCTGTTGAGACGCCAAAAATAAACAAGTAAATATTTTGAAGGCTGTTATTACTTCGATAGCTAGTCTGTGGGAGGAATTCTAGCATCAATCAGTTCCTGCCATACTGGGGTCATAACCAATGTAATTTACAAAGTCAGATTAAATGCCCTTAACACAACTTCCAACTCTGACCCTATAATTTATGTACTATACATTTAAAAAATAAAAAGAGAAGATCTGTTAAAAAAAAGGAAGGGGGGAGGGAGAGAGGAAGAAAGAGATAAACATATGGAAGGGCTCAGAAGAGCAAGCATGGTATGACATACAGAAAAGGTAAAAATAATGGGAGGCAGAGATTCCAAAGATTTTTCCAATACTTTTAACCTAAATAAATCTTTAGGTCAGTGTAGAAGGGGGCCATAAAGTAAACTAAACTCCTCATTGCTATCGAACCCAGGAGAAAATCAATAGTAACTTTCAGAGTTCATGCAGTTTCACCAAAGCAGTCCTATTAAAATCCTCTAGATCTCTTTGCTTAAGACTCACATGTTCCCTAGAGAAAATGCTGACTCCGAACAAGGAAGTTTATAAATTACTGGCCATTTTTCCTTGAGAATTCAGTTATCCCATACAACAGAAGTAGAGAAAACAGATATGGAGTTACGCTTATAGAGCATAATTAAGCAGCAGCCTCTAGAAGGTGCCCAGCGAAACTCTGGTCTCACAAACTTCTGTCCTCTCACAATATACATGGAGGTCTCTTAGATAAGAAATAAGAACTGACCATGTCATCTGTCATCTGAGTACAACGTTTTAATTTTATATTCCAAAATCATAATAATGAATGGAATGAAAGAAAAACCTAGACATGTACTAGAAAGCTACAAGTCAACAGGTGAATATAACTCACAATCCAACAAATTCTTCAGAAAAATAAAGAAATATAAAACCAGAATAACGGTGCTGAAAATGAGACTGATATTCTCATAGTGACACCATTAGTCTATATAAAATCAATTGATGATATATGTGATTTATGAGATGCAGATGAAACATGTTGGGTAGATAATTGGTTAGTAGTTATTTAAAACACTTGGGAATTATAACGGTAAAAATCATAGGAATAAAAAAGGGAAAACTCAATCTTACTACAACTTTTATCATATTATTTTCGTCAATGAAAGAAGCACAACACAATACAGAAAAAAAGGTGGCCATACTTCACTTACCTGCTTCTCTGTGAGAATGACTCTCCCCAGTAACTGGTCTTCTAGACCTTTCATGGTGACAGTGAAGTCAATGATGGAGGTTCGAGCACTTATTTCAGGGGTGTAGGCTGGATTGGGCAGTTTGGTGGTAATGTAGAGTCTGAAGCCATCCATCACATCTACTTCCTTGTCACCAACCTTCACCTTTTTTATAAAAAGTAAGTTAAAAGTATTAAAACTGAGATACACCTTACTGTGTCCTTTCTGTATAGGATCAAGTGTTGCTTTAAATAATTATGCACCTGGAGATAATCTGTATACTAAAAAAGAAATGGTCATTAGGCATTCACAGGGCGTCAAGACACTAGGACAAAGGAAGCAGGGAAGTTAGTTCAATATATACTGAGCAATAAATACATAATTTATCACCAAAATTGTTGTGATCATACTAGAGAAGTGAGATGGATTCCGCACCCAAAATTTGGTTCAGAAGTCGAGACTGACGATGTCACATGTGCACCAAAAGGGTATAAAAAGGTTGATTACTCACATAATGAGATTTTCTGAAGAGATTAGGGTAGGCTCCCAAGAAGATCCAAAAAGTAGGAAGGGGCGGCTGTTTTAGGGTTTTATGGTGGTTAGAGGATGGGGCTGAGAGTAGGGTTCCCACACATGGGCATGGACGGGAGTTGCATGGTTTGAATTTCCCACCAGTGCCAAAGGAGAGAGCATCCAGGTTTTCTTATCAAGTTGCCCAGATTTGGGGTGGAAGGGGAGAGGGGCATCATGGGGCTTGAAAAGTGTCCAGTCAAACATCAAAATGGAGTCAGATTTTATTACACAAGTGAGGTATATATTCCTCAAAGAACTACTCTTGAATACTTTAATCCCAACCGAGGAAGTGTAGAAGAGGAAAGCAAATGCCTCTTGCCACTGACCCAAATTTGAGCTGCTGCCTATTGAGAAAATTTCATCTATGTCACATTAACCTGGCCTCATGGTAATTGTTCTGCACATTGTGATCAACAGGTTTAACCTACCTTAAAGGTAGACCCAGTCTTAATGAAGTTTCTCTCCAAAACATTATCCAGGGCTGGATCTAGTTCCTCCCCAACATCTTCAATAAGCAAGGGCCTTCCAAGGGAAAGACTGTCCTCCAGGTGGTTTCTGAAGTACTTGTGATTTAGAGATGTGATCTAGAAACAAGATCAAAACGTTGCTCTTGACAGACAGTATCATGATGCAACGCACAGAGATAACGGATAGTAAATGGTGCGTAAACGTTCTATCACAGGAGACAAATTCAGAAATTTTCAGAGACCCTTACTTGGAATGATACTTGGTGAAATGGAACAGAAAGCTTTCCATTCTTTTCCTTAACATACGGTCATTCTCTTTTACCGGGAAGCAAGTAAAGGCTCTGCGTGGCAACGCTGCCTCTTCCTCAGCACTACCACTTTTGTGACAAATAATCATGGAATAATTATGAAGTGCTCTTATACAGTGCTCCACAGTGTGATACAGCTCTGCCCTGCTCTGTGCATCTAAGAGAGACTTAGGCCCCAACAGAAGAGAGTCTGAAACCTTTGAAAGATGGCATTAGTAGAGAGCGACACAAATGCAAATAATGCAATTTTTAGAAATTATTTCTAAATATTAATATCTAAATATTAACACCTAAAATTATTTCTAAATATCAAATATTTATTCTTGATCTGTGGCAATAAAACTTGACTAGTAACATAAATATACTCAAACACAAATTACCTGGAGTTCATTCTGGCTTTCTTTATTTTTAATCCAGATCTTGCCTTGAGTCTGTGGATCTACTAACAAAGGATAGCGAGACGCCTTTGTGACAATAATTCCATTCTGAATGGACAGGTCATCATTTGGCAGGCCTTGGAGGTTCCATTCACTAATAGTAGGAGCATCGATCAACATCTCATTGAGATTTAGATTGTCTCCAAACGGAATTTCCCGGGCTTTCATTTCCTTCTGCCAGTCATTTAACAGCAGATTGCGAAATTCTTGGTTAAATGGACCAGAATAAGATAGAAAAGCTGTAGCCAACAATACATCCCCTAAAATGGAAGATGAAACATCACTGAAACACTTTATGATCAGCTTTGCAATTGTGCAGAATATTAAAAATGAAAAAAAAAAAAAAAAGAAGACAGTCATTCTTTTAAACTAAATTCCAGAAACCAAATTGTAACCACATGTTGCTGTGTCTTGGTTTGGTTCATTGTTTGAACAAGCAGTAGTTTGGTTCATTGTTAAAAAGCATCTACATGATCCACCAAGTAATAGCTGCTAGCAGTCAAGCACTGGATTATTCTGACTCTCACTGAATGTGAGAGAATGACTTTTGAGTTTACAAGATACAAAATCTCAGAAGACAGAACCTCCATTCAAAGAGACCTTGATCAACATGACCATTCACTCATAGGAGAATTCAAAAGAGACCTGATAATAAGAGATTTAAAGGTCATTAACACATCTAATAAGGGCTGCATAGATGCCAAAGCAATACTCATCCTTCTGAAATAGCTGGAGAGACAGACAGACAGACAGACACACATACACACACACACACACACACACACACACACACAGAAGAATCTTAAGAAATCAAGCATTGGATTGCATTTTGATTAAAGCCTAAATTTGCTAACTCCCTATCACAGTCAACACATAATCTCATTAATAAAGGAATTTACATACCTACAAGCCTCTTAGTTTGTGAAGCAAACTCTTTACTTTGCTCCGTCCATCTTTCTTTTTCTCCTGCCAAGCCACCAATCAGGGCGGAAGCAGTCTGCATCTTATGTCTGCACCGCTCTGCGTCTTCAAGCAAGGTCTAAAAAAGGCCATAACCAGAAGGAAACTTTTGTTCAAATAAATATAGCCTCTGGTTCAAAAATATAATTTTAAAACATTATATATTATCTGCCTGAGACATGTGATCTATTTATTACATAGGAAGCATACAATTAAATTTCCGTGTGCTTATGTGAGCCCAAGCCTGTCTCTTAAATCCTATCGATGGAACCTGGATGGATTCCTCATGTGGGGCCCTGAGCCAACTAGTCAGACCCTCCCCAGATGTTAATAACTGAGAGATAATGGAAATTTGCATCATTTATGATTTCCTTACAACAAAAAATAGAAATAAAATATAAGCATACATGCTAATATCATAGACCACAAAAAAAAAAAATGTAAAGAAATACATAGCCCCACTTAAAAATTAGGAATATTTCTCATGTTAAAGTTTAGCATCATTATTGCTTTATCTAAGTCCACATCTTCTTTTACTTTTGGCGAAACTTGAGATTATCTTCAGATTGTGGTGTTCTGAGGCTTATTCACAGATTCCAGCCACACTTGACTCAGCAGGTCCCTCCCTGCTGCTCCTTGTGTCAATAAAGGACCTTTAACCAGAATTCTACACACTGTTGCCACTCAGCGCTTAGTTCTTAAAAACAAATGGTTCTGTTTCTCTATGTTTAAGAGACAATTGCTAATTCTACTTATAAACACTTAGACTTATGACATAATAATAGGTATAAAAATTCAGCTAATGTGACCAGTCACTGGAAGTTCATGTATAATATTTATATATATTTATATAATATTTAATTATATTTAGCATATATATGCCAAATGTCTAACAATATAAGATTATTTAAATAGATTATGGTATATCATGAATAAGAATACTCTGAAGCTTTAAAAATTATAAAAATTTTTATAACCAAGAGAGTTAATCATGATGTATCTTTAACTTAGAAATTCAATTTATAAAGCAGTATGTACCGAATTATCTGTTATATTTTTTAATGGATTTAAAAATACAGTCATGCATCGCATAACAATGTTTCAGTCAATGATGAACCACATATACAACGGTGGTCCCATAAGATTAGTACCATGTAGCTTAGGTGTGTAGTAGGCTGTACCATCTAGGTTTGTGTAAGTACACTCTATGATATTCGCACAAGGATGTAATCACCTACCAAGGCATTTCTCAGAATGTATCCCCATCATTAAGCAATGCATGACTATATATGTAAATCAAAGCATGTGTTCAGATATGAAATGATAAAGAGCAAAATATTTTTAGTGTTCATCTCCAGGGTTACCTGTGTGTTTTTTCTATAAAGAACATCAATTGCTTTTGTAATAATAACACAATACAGTGCTTTTCAAAAGCAAGATATTTATTCCAGTTTGTGCTAGTCTATTTTCTGTTCTCCTTCCCTCTAGAGTTAATGCAGAAAACCTAAAAGCCCAGCTGAGAGGTGCACCCTCACATCTACACCGCTCATATTTGTTTGTCTATTTCACAAGAAGAAAGACGCCAGCTGGGAAGTATGATACTACATCATCTATTTCTGCCCACCTTTGAAACAAATTTTTCATGTAAAAGATATTTTTAAGATTAAGTTGTCTTCTCGAAATTCCCCATCCCCACTCCCAACTAGCAAAATAAGAAAATGGTCAGCCCCTCCTTTCCTGGCTTTTGTTTTCTGGAAGCCCAAGGCCCTTTAGGGGATTGAGATATGGGAGAGGGAGAGGAACAGAGGTCTGAGAGTACAGGAGAGAGAAGCAGATTTTCCCTCCAAGACTAGTTGGGGGAGTGTGCATAATTCACTGGGTTCCATGAGTAATGTCCCCCTGCACCGGCCCACTCTCTCATAGTGGTCCCAGCATGTGACGAGCTGTCCAGAGGGCCCAGGGAAGTGAGCCCTAAGCACAGGCACTGCCCTGTTCAGAGAATAGCAGGACACACACTCCTTCTGGGACCACCCAGGCCTGAGTCGTGAGGTTACCACTTGTGACCATGATGAACTGTAGACTCAAGGCCCTTCTGCCATCTTGTAGCCCATAAGCCCCCTGGACTCTCAGGGAGCCCTATGGAGGGGGAAGGAGCAACAGAATGACTAAAGGTCAAGTCCACTCCAGCATGTTGGGGGCAGGAGAGCTCATAGCCAGATTTTAATTTCTTAATTTAAAAAATTTGATATTTGGAGGCCGGCCCCATGGCCAAGTGGTCAAAGTTCCACGTGCTCCGCTTCGGCAGCCGGGGGTCGCCGGGTTCAGATCCCAGGCGCGGATCTACTCCACTCATCAGCCACAATGTGGAGGTATCCCAAATACAAAGTAGAGCAAGACTGGCACAGATGTTAGCTCAGGGCTAATCTTCCTCAAGAAAAATAAAAAGAGGAATATTTCCAACAGATATTATTAGCTCAGGGTGAATCTTCCTCACCAAAAACAAAACAAAACAAAAATAAAATTTTGACATTTATTGAAACTCAAGTTCTAAAATTAGAGCCATAACTTTACAGTAGGAGTTCTTGTGTGGTTTTATAATCGCTTACCTAACAAATAGTAGAAGCTCAAAAACAAAAAAGCTGATTGAATGAACTAACGCAAAAATGTTAAAACTGAAACACAAAATGAGGCCGTAAAATATTTTTACTCTGTTTAGTAATGCTTCCCAATATGTGAGTGTCCAGAATGGAAGAAATTATCATGTCTTCCTCATAGTTCTAAAGTAGACTCTTTCAAACTGCAATGTTAATTTTCTCTTTATATTATAAGTGAATTCCATAGGGCTTAAGTAACAAACCCAAATAGGTGCTATATAATTACTTCTCTAAAATTTCTAAAAAGCTCTTATTTTGCTTTCAGGAGACTTATCTTTAAGAGGAAATATCATACATTCTGCATATAGTGAAACTGAAATATTTATCTAAATTCCCTCATTGGGACTCCTATAAGAGAACAGACTAAAAGAGCAGGAATCTCAATCCAGCCAAGTGAAGGCTGAGAAGGGGCAGAGGAGAATTCCATACAATCATCAAGGAAAGCGCAGCATGAATCTAGCTCTTATTTACCAAATACAGGATTCATCAGAGGCAGACACAGATTTTGTGGGGCCAGAAGCTTACATAATCTGGGGACCACTTTAAGAAAATCATTAAAGAATTTTTACTAACACAAAATACCAAAGTGAACATGTAGTTAGAATGAGGGGAAACAAATCACTACACAGTCCTGGTGACTTAGAAACTCAGGTGCCTTTCCTCTGAGATCTCTAGGTATTTTACCTGAATGCTCACACACAAATGCTTGCCAATTATGACCTGGTTTCCCCTCCCTGTAGAACATTCCTCAAACCCCAGTAACCTCGGCACTCATGGGGGCCTGTGCAAGTCAGGGCCCATATTACTCTTCATTAGGTCTATGTTAAATCCGCCTTGATCACCAGGAGGAAGGAGGCCCCAGTGGAACTAGAATTAGTAAAAATAAGATAAAGAGTTTTTTGCTCAGTGAATAGTAAATGCATGAGCCTAGATTCTGAAAGGCTCTAAAGCTGCAACAAAGCTCTCAAAATAGGTTGAGAAGGCTGTGGATGGTCATTGTCATCAGGATACAGCCATGTGTCACACTGTCCAGCAGAGAGGCCTGAAATGGACCTCAGGAGACCAAGGTCTAGTGCAGACTGTCCAGCTATGACTGGGGGCCATTCTCTTGTCTTCTCTGGGCCTCAGTTCTTTCCTCTAAAATGAGAATAAAATAAAAATATCTACCCTGCCTACCTTGCAAGATTGTTTAAAGATTAAATGAGATAAAGTGGGAGGACATGATTTAAAAAACACAACAAAAAATGCTACGTGAGATGCTGTTATCATCATCATTAATAAGGAAACTTAGAATGTTCACCTTCCAGAACTGACTCCTATTTTGGCTGAACATCCTGACATCTCACCAAAGGTGCTTGTGCCTGTTAGAAACAAGCTCCAGGGCTTCGGGAGGAATTATATGCTGTGTATGTATTATGTGTAAATTAAATGACTCCCTCCTGGAAACCAAACCCTTGGAGAGAGAAAGGAGAAAAGGAAGGAAGGGCTTACAATAGCCGTGTAGGTGTGTGACAGTCCCTCCCATGCCAGAGGACAGGTACCTGCTTTTCAGTCATGGCCTGTTCATACTCGGCCTGTACCACATCGAGCTCTGCCTGCTTGTCGTCCAGCTCAGCCTGCGCCTTCTGCAGATCCTGCATGGCCAACACGTAGCGATTCTCCTGCACCACCAAGTTGGCCTGCACAGGACACACACAAGGTGAAGGGATGGGCAGCAAAGCACACATCCAGCATTTCAGAGTCTGAGAACTCAGCCATGTCACATGGTTATACCTTTTCTCTGTTCCATCCCTAGAGTCTTTTCAAATTGCATTGTCAAGACCAAATCTTAATGTGAACTTGACATAAATGCTTATAGGCAGAAAATTACAATTTATTAGAGTAGAAGTCAGCAAATATTTTTCCATAAAGTGCCAGATAGTAAATATTTTTGGCTTTATGGCCCAAGAGGCAAAATCAAGGCTACTATTTAGGTAATTATTTAAAAACCATTTAAAATGTAAAAAAGTATTCTTATTTCACAAGCCACAAATATAGGTGGTCAGTTAGATTCGGCCGGTGAGCCATAGTTTGCCAGCCCCTAGATCAGAGCACTCTAATATTAAATGCATATAGGTACATTACAGAACATTGTAATATTAAAACATGCATAAAAAGAAAAAATTGAATATTTAGAACCATCTGCATAGCAGGACTCAGCACTATTGACGAGAATGTTAAGACAAAGGACAGAACATAATTATTCACTGAATATAAAGATCTAGGTTTTGTGGGTGGTGGTGGTCTTGATGTTGTTCCTGTAATTTTCACATATTGCTTGCTTTCCAGAAAAGAATTGATATCTTGAGCTGTGGCCAATTAAAAATATTTGTTTTAATGAAGCTACTAAATTATAGACTCAAAAGACATAATCAAAAGTACTATTAGCAAAAGACGAGGCATAGAAAATAGTCCATGCTTACAGGGATTTAGATCCTTTTCAAAAAATTTTTGAAACCAAATTTCTCCCTTTTAAGTCTACAAAATGTTAAAATGAACTTTAATAGGGAGATCCACTACTAGAGTGATATTCTTTCTGAGGTTTTTTAGAAGAAAAGATTATCTTAAACCATTTCTTCTGAAATAAATTATTTTCCTATCTGAAAACCTCAAGTTCCCAAATTTTGGCAGAATAATTCGTTATGGGAATGTCAGAGTCCCATAACCGACTAGAACCAATGACAGGCAAAAGCATGGCTTAAAAATTACAGTTTAAAAAGAATCTGACTCTTGGAGCATTTTTCTCTCGGCTCTGCGCTCAGCTGCACCTGTTGCCGCGGCTTAGACATGCAAGGAAGGCAGAGCCACCGTGTCAACTCACTGAAGCCACCCACTAATGTCAAAGTGTTGCAGCCCCCAAATTTCTGAATACTTTCCAGGACTTTACTCAGAAAAAATAAATTTAAAAAATTTTGTAAATGAAGCTCTCAAAAGTTGCTAACTAAAATGTACAGAATCCTTCAAATCCAGTGGCTCACCTTAGGAGCTGTGGAACTCTACTCAGGTTACCTATGCGCCTCAGTTTCTCCACTAAGATTTTTAAAAAGTATTCCTAGGATTTGTGTGTATGTGTGAGGATTAAATAAGATAACATATGCAAAAACCCAAGTCTGGGACCTGGCATATAACGGGAGCTTAATAAATAAAAGACATTGTTATTGTTATTATCCGTGTTCAATATTTAAGCCTCTTCTGTTGTAATTTTTTCTTTATATGGACTTACGTTTACTGGTTTTCATAGAATTTTCACAGAGAAATCTCATTACAATGAACTTGAATAGAATATAAATTGCTATTATTGTAATTCGTATTTTTTAAAGTTTATTCACTACCAGAAGTCACTTGGCCTGTCTATGGGGATTGCAAAATGGTTATTAATTAGTGTTGAAGAGGTTCCAACTGAAGTTTAGGAAGTGTCCTCGATCTCTTCTAACTTAGGAAGCAGGAGTTTGCAAGCGAAGCCCCTCCAGGAATAAGTGAAGTGAGAGGCCTTGGTCTGTATTTCTTAATATCATCAGCAGACTTGCCCAATGATAACCACTCGCTTTGTCTTCTACTTCTGCCTACGCAGCGAATGTGGAGGATCAGTGTAACTGCACTTATTTTTCTGACTTTCTGATTTTTCTCTCAGATCCTGAATGCTCATAAGAATATAGGAGGGCACTCCCAGACCAGACTTCTGAGGAAGAGAAGCACAGGTTCCAGGAGCAAGTAAAAGGTTCCCCGCTTCTGATGGTGTTCCCTTCACTCCCTACTTTAGGATCTAGATTGTCCTGGGACTGGTGGAGGCTGAAATGGACTGAAGATAGGGGAGGAGACTTCATTGTTGTTATGTAAGCCTTGCTCAGAACGTCCATTATTTTGTACTGATTTCAGCTCATTTTATTTAAAGCAACCACAACAAAATAAAAATTACCCATTACGAATTCAGATACTATGTATGCTTGCCCACCAGAAAAATGTACAAAAGATGCCCTGTACTTCCCATTTGATATGGTGGTTATAATTCAGTTAGTATCAGAATGTCCATTTTTGAGCTATGCTGGTGTCTTCAATGGTCTCCAAATCTAAAATGTCAGACAGCATGACATCAATTATTTGCTCTAAAATTCTCTGAGCCAAATGAGTCTTTGCTCTTTTAAGTTGCCTTAAGACCCCAAGGGCTTCAACAAGTGAATAAATGACCCTGGGATGATAACAACTAGAAAATAAAGTAGGACTTGCAACTCTATCCCTATCTCCTTTCTACTCTTGATTATTTTTATCAAGAGTATCCGGCCCGGTGGCTTAGCGGTTAAGTGCGTGCACTCTGCTACTGGCGGCCTGGGGTTCGGATCCCGGGCGCGCACCGACGCACCACTTGTCGGGCCATGCTGAGGTGGCGTCCCACATACAGCAACTAGCAGGATGTGCAACTATGACATACAACTATCTACTGGGGCTTTGAGGAGAAAAGGGGATAAAAAAAAAAAAAGGAGGAGGATTGGCAATAGATGTTAGTTCAGGGCTGGTCTTCCTCAGCAAAAAGAGAAGGATTGGCTTGGATGTTAGCTCAGGGCTGATCTTCCTCAAAAAAAAAAAAAAAAGAGTATTTAGTTCCTTGGGTATTTCATAAGTATAAGTTGGATTTTAGTTGATGGCTGAGGGAGATCAGACTTATACCAAAGCAAAATAATCAACCAAGCCATAGGTGTGATTTTTGAGACATCAATATTCCATTTTCATAACGTGTACTTGCCTCTCCACCTGCTGAAGACTGAGTGTCAGTGAACGGTGGGGGAGTGTGTACAAATAAAGCTTAGAAATGCAATTACTCAAAGGAAAACATAGGCATATTCTCAAATCACATTCAATGACAGAGGATATTCAGTTTCTTTCCTGAGGGACAAAGGAGAAGAGAAGAAGTCCTATGTCATGCCATGCAACCAAGACCAGCCACCAATGTCTATGTCTTGACCCTGCCTCAGTCAGAAGATTCCCTGGCAGGAGATCTTGGACATTATCAGGGGATTCTATGCCTTGGTTTTCTATGTTTCTTTTTTCCAAGTTGACATGGTGGAGGAAAAATATCCAGCAGCCCACAAGGGACTTAGTATCCTTATAGAGAGTCTATGCTTAAAGGCTCCTACAATTCTGATTGGAGTAGGATTACAGAGAAGAAGAAACATCCTGTGCTTGGCCTTTCTCTCACTTGCTCTCCCTGCTGACTTGAGTACAATAACACCAGAGGCCACAGGCTCCGGTGCAGCATGAAAAGATAAGACCAGTTGACCTACAGACCCCTTGTAGGCACGTGTCCCGCAGTTCTACCTAGGAGGCTTACCTTCAGAGGCAACACTTCTCTGTTTATAGAAAAGAAGGAAGCCATGGCTTTGGTCCAGGAACAAAGACCGGCGACATTCCCACACACACGTTTAGCAGTTTCGATGTTGTAGTCTGCCATTTCAAAGTAAGGATTCAAAAATTCTATCACTTCCTCATTGATTGTGTCTTTTGGGAATTGCTATGGAAGAAAAGAGTAAAATAAAGTCAAAATACTTCTTTCCATGAAGTCATACTCACATTATGTTCACAATGCCACTGAAATGGTTGAACAACCAAGAATGGATGAATTATATCATATTTTGTCAATATTTCAGGATATTAGGCAAAAGTCCTGGAGTTGAAAACAGAGAAAGCAGTGAGAGCAAAGAAGTCAGAGTATACTTTATCTTCTGCGGACAAGAGATACCAAGTGTAAATAATTTTCTGGGATCCAGGGAAAGAGTAAATTATTTAGGTGATGAACACTAACATGGTTATTAGAATTTCGAAGGCAATAGAATTTTCACGCCATTAATCCTAAATAGGTGAATTACAAACCCATAAAATCAACAATGGAAGCGCACACAGGTATATTCAGCCTAAGGACACATATATATGTAGCATTTAGCAGCAACTAAATGCTTAATACATTCAGACAGAGGTTCTATTAAACTCACCTGAAATGTGAAGATAATAACTTGGACACTAGGCCTTGAGGGTGATAAATTCATTTTTAATCACAGAACTATCAAGAATATGAGAGAACAGTTATCTTCTGGAGAGAGAAAATTTAAAAACAGTAGCAGAAATGGATTAAGAATGCCTTCCTGCATCAAAAGAGAAGACTGGCCAAACAATGAAATTGAATCTTTTAAAAGTGGTGTTTGATCATCTAAAGAGGATAATTAAATGTTTTCCAAGTAGAAAGAAATTGAGTACCTAAATAATTCAGAGAAACAAGCCCTCACAGAAGATACATAATGTAGAGTGAAACACACTCCATTCAGACCTCATTTAATGTAAATGTCTTTTATGAGACTTAAAAAATAGTGAAGCCAGAAGAAAGATCAGAATATTTGGGAGCAATAGAGGGGTGGTGGTGACAAAAGACAAATAGCAAGGGAGCTTCCAAGAGCAGTGGCTCTGGCACCAGGTATATAAGGCAGGACCCTAGAGTCACTTGCCAGGATCCTATTTAAAGTCCAATTCCATTGTCACATTCTTCTGTGAAAACTTTTTGAGGTTCCCCTGTCACTACTGCCATTCCACACTCACATGATCAGAGGTAATCACCACCTCCTCTCCACTCGATAGCGTATTATTTCTTCATACTGGCACTTTCATCATAGTCTCAGATTTTAATTATCTGGGACAAGTGTGTGGGGCCCACTAGTTTCATATGCTACTTATTGTGATAGCTGCTGTAAGATGCCTCACAAGATGCTCTAGCCACCTGGGCAATGTCGAGTTGAAAACTGAATGCAAGATAGTGCTAAAGTGATTGCTTGGGAAACGGATGTGGGTTCGGTATTCCCAATTAGTTGTCTCAAGATCTAAAAATGAAACATAAAACAATAAAACTTCTAGAAGAAAACACGGAAGCATTTATTCTGTCTTAGAAATGGGCAAAGATTTCCTAATCAGAACACAGATAGCACTATTAAGGAAAATATTGATAAACTGGACTACATTAAACTTAAGAACATCTGCTTATCCAAAGATACCATTAATGGAATGAACCACTAGGCAGAAAGTGGGAGAAGATATTTGCAAGTGTATAAATGACAAATTCCTCATATTTTATATATAAAGAAATTTTACAGACTAATAAATTTAATTAGACAAGAGACCTAAACAGGCATTTCACAAAAGAATTCTCAAGAAGCTCATAAACCGATGAAAAGATTTTCAGCAACATTAGTCATCAGAGAAATGCAAACTAAACCCACAATAATAAGACACTGCTACAAACCTATCAGAATAGCTAAAAATGGAAAATGGTTAAGATACGGAGTAACTTATATACTGCTAGTGGGTATGTAAACTAATACAACCATTTTTGAAAACTCTTTGGCACTATCTACTAAAGCTGATTAAATGTACAACCTAAGACCCAGAAATTCCACTCCTGAGTATAGAGCCAACAGAAACGCAACTATGCCCACCAAATGACCTGTAGAAGAATATTCATAGTAGCTTTATTTATAATAGCTGAAAGCTAGCTACAACCCAAAAATCCATCAACAACACAATGGACAAACAAATTGAAGCATATTACAGCCTTTCACACTCATGCTGGTTCATACAAGCTCATGAGAAATGATTTTCAGGAGTTTTGCAAACTGGTTGTTAAATATAGCTGTTATTAAAAATTAAATTATGTAAATATTAAATATATTTTATTTAAAACAAATATAATGTATAGTCAAAAGTCATCATTTTCTAATTATTTTACTACATTTTACTATCTATATATTTGACATCATTTACATCTGTTGTACCTATATGGTGGGAATATTATACAATGGCATGTTACTAGGCACCTCTTCCAAACTCTACATTCAGCAACATCATTTTGGTAGCTTGAAATTGGCCATTGTCGGGATATTTACACCATGGAAATTGGCAAACACTACAAATCAAAGCATTTTTTCTTTTTTCTCCCCAGAGAACCAGTTGTTAAACATTTACCACACACTACTGCATATTCATATACTGGAAAGCTATATAGCAATGAAAAAAGAATGAAATACCGTCCTGTACAACAGTAAGAATGAATCTCAAAGACAAGTTGAATGAAAGAGGTCAGAACAAAAGAGTCTGCATGATATGATTTCATTATGTAAATTTCAAAAGAGGCAAAATTAATTATCAGGATACAGGTCAGAATAACTGTTTTCTTGGGGGAGGTTATTGACTGGGTTGGGACACAAGAGAGATTTGTGTGGTCTGGAAATACAAAGCTTGATTTCAGTGTTCATTAATAGGTATGTACATATTAAATATTCATTAATCTGTGTACTTAAAATGTGTGCATTTTATCATATGTAAGTTCTATCTCATAATAAAATTAAAAAGATGCAAATTAATACTCAAAAATTACTATTGAGACTTTCAAAATATAAACATATATATATATCTGTAATCATATGCATACAATACATGCACATATATATTGGTTCCTTAAAATGACTTTTTTTAACTTTTATTGACCTATGTCACTGACGATGCTTTAATACACCTAAAATCTGTCAGGAAAAGCTCTAATGCTTACAATGTCTTATACTTGAAAGACAAAATTCTTCTCTGAAAAAATAGTTAACTACATCGTCAAAATATGTATACAGGATATTATTCAGGCTTAAAAAAGAAGGAAATCCTGCCATTTGCGACACATAGATGGACCTGGAGGACATTATGCTAAGTGAAATAAGCCAGATGCAGAAAGATAAATACTGCATGATCTCACTTAGAGGTGAAATCTAAAATAGTCAAGCTCATAGAAGCACAGAGTAGAATGGTGGTTGTGAGGGGCTGGGGGAGGGGCAACTGGGCAGATGTCCGTCAAGACGCAAGATGAATAAGTTCTGGAGCTAAAGTACAGCCATATGAAAATAGCTAACAACACTGCACTGTATACTTGAAATTTTCTAAGTGTTCTCACCACAAAAAGAGGAAAATGGTATCTATGTGAGGTGATATGATACTTTAATTAGCTTGACCGTGGCGATTATTTCACAATGTACATGTATATCTAAATATCAAGTTGCACACCTTAAATAAATATAATTTTTATTTGTCAATTATACCTCAATAAAGATGGCAAAAATATTTAATAAGTAAAAATATGTATGTACAGTAAATTCTTTTTAGAAACTTGCTGTATTAAAGGACTACTCAGATACTCTAATGAAATCTGAGTCCTTTCTTAGCCTGTGATTATTGAACCACCAACCTGTAAGTTCTGTAAAAAGTTCCCTGCAGTCATCAGTTTTAAAGATTCCTGCCAGGAAGGAATTGGACAGCTTTTTTCCAAGTCAATTTTCACCGCGTTGACTTTCCTTTGAAACAGCAGCAGTACACAGTCCATGATCCGCATGATGAGGTGAGGGGGTCGGCCCAAGGTGCGAACTGTAGCAATGTCCGAAGGCTTGATGGTCTGGGGGAGGAAAGGAGGTTATCATCAATCTCAGATAAGCAAGTGCAGACAAACCAACCTTTAATCTCTAAATGCTACTATTTTGACAGAGGAAAGCAAACATTTTCAAGTTAGATGCAGTCATAGGGGCCAGATGGACATTTAATCCCAAAGAAACACACGTTCCCCAAAGTTCAAATTTTTACAATTCAAACTGACAGTGAGAGGACAGACAGTGAGAGAAATGTTGGCGAGCAGATAAGGAGCTGTGACTTCCCTAAAATTGTACAGACCACTTTGTGTCAGAAAACAGAAAAGTGTAATCTGAAAGAAAAAGAATACTCAACATTTAAGCAGAAACCAGGGATTCTAAACCAGGAAAATGCCAGTGTTTGCAGCGCATTTTTTACTCATTAGTTATGTAGGTCAAGGATCCGCCTCTCTCTCTTAAGCAACTCAGACTTGTCACAGGGGACTGACACCAGCGGGTAGCCTCAGGGCTGACAGATTGAATAATTAGAGGTTTCTTAGCTGGGAACTGACCTTTAAATGACGGAACTTGAGCAATACGAATTTCACTCAGCTCTTAGAAAAGTTCCGTTCCATTTCTAGTACAGAGATTCTTATAGAGTAAATTATTTAACAGTCACACAGACCTGTTGTGGTTGATAAGAACTGTTCTATCTCTTATACACTTTATGGAATAAGTACTGGAAAAATATTAAATATAAGAATCTGATACAGCTCTATTTCTAGAAAAAATAGTGGACATTCATTCCTTCCAGATCTTGAAAACCTTTCATCTTACTTGCATTTGCATCCCTCTTATCAAAAGAAGGTAATCAATGACCTTCTCATCAAAGCAAATGATCTTTTTTCTGAGGACTGAGAAAAAAACAGAAGAAAACCACTGAACTTGGTAATTACGAATGTAACTATACACTTTGAAAAGGTTTATGTCAATAGACTAGCATTTGTGAAAGCCAGACTGCTGGAAGTGAAGGAGAATTTGCAGGAACGAAGTGGAAATGGCAGAATGACTTTTATTTGAGATGTGTGGCTATAAAAGAAAGGAGAGAAATATAGTAGCAGCCACTGGGGAAAGTAGGGTCAAATTAAAGTTATATAACATGTAAGAGTTGATGTAAGATGTTTATTTTTACTTTAGTTTTAAAAGGGACAATTTTCAAACAGAATTGGGCTCTATTATGTTCGATATTCAGATAGAAGAAGTTGGGAGAAGGGGTGTTTCTGAAGTTAAAACTATTTCAGCTAAGTATTGGATTCCTCTTCTCTCTGCAAGCAAAGCAATATGACTGTTACATAATTTCCTAGACATCATTGCAAAATAATAGTTATTTAACATCTGAAGGTATTTTGTATGTTTGTGTCAAGTCAGAGTAGCATTGAGTTAGGAAGAGATACATTCTTCACTGTTACCTTATTTGTTGTCTAGATTTATGTATCCTGATGCCAAAATGTTAGAGTTTAAATGTACCTTTTTTAGTATAAATTGGTAGTAACACATTTCAAGATTTCAAAAGCTCACAAAGAGGCAATGAAATGGCGGGAGAACCAATGAAGGAAATTATTGAAAATCTCTCCCACACACCCCATCACCTTACCCCCGTTCCCACACATTTCTGTATTGATGATTATGTAACGCAGAATATTTTAGTGGTAGAAAGCATGAAATTAGGAGGATACTGAAAACATTTTATAATATCAAAAAAGATGCCAAGCCTATTAAATCTTGGAAAAATGTATGCCTTTAAGCATGACCTGAGATGCTATATGCTCTATTCCTATGATGCCATTAGGTATCATGAGTTCAATAAAGGGTTAGAAGTTTCTTTACACTATCATTGTCTTCTCTCTGTTGACCAGAGATTCTCAGTGAAGCCAAAATGCCCAAAAAGGAAAGAGGGGATGAGAATCGGGATCTTGAAGAGATATCTGCACCCCCATGTTCATTGCAGCATTATTCACAAGAGCCAAGATATGGAAGCAACCTAAATGTCCATCGACGGATGAGTGGCTAAAGAAAATGTGATATATATACAATGGAATATTATTCAGCCTTAAAAAAATTAAATCCTTCCATTTGAGACAACATGGATGGACCTGGGGGGCATTATGCTAAGTGAAATAAGCTAAACACAGAAAAACAAACACTGTATGATTTCGTTTATATGTGGAATCTAAAATAGTCAGATTCATAGAAGTAGAGAGTAGAATGTGGTTGTCAGGGGCTGGCAGGAGGAGGAAACGGGGAGGTGACAGTCAAAGGGTACAAATTCTTAGTTATGCAAGATAAATTCTGGAGGTCTACTATACAGCATAGAGCCTATAGTTAACAATATTGCATTATATACTTCAAAGAGGGTAGATCTTACACTAAATGTTCTTACCACACAAGATAATAATAATAATAATAATAATATTAAAGGGAGTGGAGGAAACTTTGAGAGGTGATGCATATGTCTATGGTTTCATGGTGGTGATGGTTTCACAGATGTACTATATTTATCCCCAAACTCTTCGAGTTATATACTTTAAATATACACAGCTTTTTACATGTCAAACATACCTCAATAAATTGGTTTTAAAAAAAAGGGTCAAGAGGAGATGAGATGCCCCCCAATCAGAGAGACTGAAGACCCTGGAGGACTTCAAAGATTAAGGAGAACAGTTTAGCTAGTACGAGGAGGAATGGAGAAACAATGAGGAAAGAAAGATCACATGTAAGAATAGTGTGAAATGTTGGAGAGATAAAAGAGAAGGCAATATCTTCATTGTCTCAAAAGAATAGAAATTCATATTTGTATATTGACTCAGAAAGCTTAAAGACTTAACTTGGACCAAAAAGATTTAGAAGTGTATCAGGCAGTGTCCTAAGTGGTTAAAAAATAATTACATAATCAAGTAATGACGCATGCTCAACTGAGGTTATATATCTTGAATTAGCAGTGGACCGATCAGCAGTGTTCTATTTCTCCAGCCATTTTCTAGGCCAGGAGTCAACAACATAAGGCAGTAGATGAGTAAGACCGAAGTCAAAGCAATCTTAAATTGAGCCCCAAAAGATCTTAAATTGAGTCTTCAAAACTAGACCAGCCCTTTAAGGTGTGGCCTATTTCATTAAACTCATCATATTTTCTCAGAATCCAACCTCCTTTCTAATCTCACCATTTCTGTTATTGCTACACAATTACATTGAATGATTGTGTTGGAAACCTGCTCAAACTCTGACTTAATGAGCTACATTAGATCAGTAGTTCTTTATTTGGATAATTCATAGATACCCTCAGAGAGTTGTATCTTATAGACCTACTCCAAGGTCCTCAAGGAATGAGTGAGGAAATGTTATTTTAGAAATTTTATGTGACTTTCCCAATGTCATACAGCTTACTGGTGACAGAGTTGAAATGAGAATCCAGGACTCCTGATCACCATTATATGACGCTGCCCATCATTCATGAGTGAGGAAAATGAGATGTGAAGTAGCACGTGCAAAATCTAAAAAGAGCTAATAACATCTCCAAGCAGAAAATATTACTTGAAATCATTCCTGTGGAGAGAGCTGTGGCGGGGAGCAGTAGAGCATCTCCTGGTTGTTATTCATCTTCTCTGCCTTAGCCCTCCTCCTAGGCCCTGAAGGATGGTATCTATTGTATCCCTGAGATTTACCTGCAAGGCTGCTTCCGCTTCTTCTAAAGCTGGTTTTGCTGCTTCCAGTTTTTCTTCAGCAATGGCTTTATCTTTAGAGATGCCGTCTACAATGGCCTGGGCTTTGTCCTTCACCTTCTGTACCTCAGTCTTGACCTTTTCGGCAGCCTGGGCTTTCATTGTCACGTCTTTTAAGACCTAATTCAATATAAAACAAGAAAATACCTCATCAAAAATTACCAAACACGCAGCACGTTCTTGCCTTGCGTTGTTGATTTTGTCCACTTACACAATTTTTCATACATAAAATTAAGAGTACTCTGTTCTAATGGAAGTAAATAATTTATACTTTCATGGTTATAACTTAGTGAATATGCATACACCACTAACATTTATGAACTGGGAATTCAAAATGAATATGGTGCACGCGTCAATGTCCACCCACCGTGTCGGCTTTCACGTTGGCCACCTGTAGCTCCTTCTCTTTCCCTTCCAGCTCTTTGCTCAGGGCTGCAACAGACTCCGAAGCTTCTTTTAGCTTTTCCAATCCAGTATTCATTCTGGGATTGAAAATCCAAGCGAGCAATGTCAAAATTTATGGTACTTGGTCACATCTTCCAAGTACCGGTCCACTAATATAGATAGTAATGGTCACATTTGAAGAATGAGCATAGAGACAAATAGCAAATCCAAGAGGGCTTGACCAAAAGGGTACATGTCCAGGCTTGATTCAAGACCAAAGACACTTTTATGTTTTTCATAGATCGCATGTGGGAAGAGGGAACCTGCTAAAAATACTCTGTGTGACATGACAAACAACAGTGGGTCTAGAATCTGGATCACACAGAAAACATGCTTAATGAAGTTTAGCTAAATGACAATAGACTTCAAATGCTTGAAGCCCTGTCATGGAGGAAGGTAAACAAATGACTTTAGTTTTTTAAAAGAGATCAACGAAGTTAAAAGAAGGTTTGGGATCAAGAAAAGAAACAAACTTAAAGCCATCAGAACAGCCTCATGAAGGGACTAGCTGCCTGTCTGAACCTGCAATGACGTGATCTTAAAGACTGGAGCCCTCAGAGTCACTTAGCCCAATCAACCACCCAGGGGTCCCTTAGGTAGCAACCCAGGCTGATTCGGGCCATATTCAGGCAGAAGATGTAAGTGTTCAGAAAAGAGCAGGGCAGAGTAGAGAAATCTGTAACAAATATCAGTGAAGTAGGCTATTTGCTATGCAGCGAACATAAGCATCAGCCAGACTCTTCTGTCCCAGACACTCAGAAAGTGTGGGAAGAGAGGGACAAGAGGAGGGAGGAGGGGATGTCTGTATTCTCAACTTCCTTCCAGGTCTATTATTTCTATCATTAAGTCATTCAATATTATAGAAAGTGGTGGGCCACATAAAAACTTGGCAGTATTTTATCCTATTGGGCAACAATAAATTCCCTAGCAACCATGGGATAATCCTTTGGATAGGCCCAAGAGGAGGGTTCCTCAACCACAGCACTATTGCCATTTTGGGCTGGATAATTCTTTGCTGTGGAGGACTGTCCTGCACACTCCTAGGACGTTTAAAAGCATCCTTGACATCTACTCATTTGACGCCAGTGGCACTCCTCTGCCCCCTGCCATCCGAGTTGTAACAAACAAAAATGTCACTAGTCATTGCAAAATGTCCACTAGGAGCAAATTTGCCCCCAGTTGAGAGCCACTGCTTTAAAGCAACTTTATATTTGAGCATCACACTTACCTGTTGGCCAGAGTTTGCACTTCCACACGCTTTTCTCCATATATGAACTTATAGCCCTGAATAAAGGAGAGGTACGACTTGGGCGTCACATGGGTAGAACGTCGGAATCTCTGGAAATAATCAACAGACTTCTCAGCTACCCCATCCTGGAAGGAGCCCATGCACTGGACCACTTCCTTCTTGGTTTCCAAACTGCAGTCAATGTCATAGGAAGAGAGGAAGTGTTCAGACACTAGAAAGAATAAAGATGACAGCATGTGACATATGAATGCGAATTAAAAGTTAACTGGCTATTTCAAAAAGACTTAGACATTTCTTAGGACTGCAGACCACTTTTATAGCCCTAGCTAGGTACATATATGTCAGCATTTTTGGCCCCAGGACTATGACATCAACAGTTTTATTTTCCCTTTCATGTACAAAACTATAACAGACTGTAAGCCTATCATCATTCTTTGTTTTCTGGTACTTGTACAAAGAAGTCTCTTTGATGCAGCTGCAGGTTCTGGTTGGCAGCCAGCCTGTTTTATGGTTTACATAAGAACAAAATGGTACAAATAACTCAGAAATCAGTGACCACCTGGTACTCATATTTAACAATCTCACTTATTTTTTCATTCAGAACCTGTCATACCCTTAATTCCCTCAGGCTCTGACTGCATTTGGCATGGGGAATGTTCACCACTAAATTTTTTTATGCCTGGGCCATCTTGTTCTTAAATGTGGCAGCTGGCCATTTGTAGTTAATTCTATTTACAGTGTCCTTTAAAAATGTTTGGGTTAAAATCTCCTATTGGAGACCTTTATCTTCCTAATGGTGCCAAACAGGGGACCAATCCTAAGACAGTATTTCCTATTACCAGAATAGGCCATAAAGTCAGAGCTAATCAATCACCATATCCATACTGAGTGTCTGTTCCACATCCATCACTGTGATGGGTGCCATGGAGTGAAAGAGTTTTATGAAACTTGGTCTCAACCCCAGGGAATTTACAAGGGTGGTGCATAATGCAGTTAAAAATTATCACAACTCTCTTTATCTATCTTAGAAAAAATGGCCTATGGATTTGCTTAAAAAGTACTTAAAGTATTGAATAATGTACATAAGAGTTGCAAACAGAAATAGGGCCAATAAAAAGGGAGAGAAAGAGAAGGAATCAAGTGAACAGACGTATCAGGTAACAGTTGGCGAAGGAATAAAAAATGGTATCTTTTCACCATTAGTAATTGATCACTAAACTAAGTTCCTAGTGCAGTAATTGTGGGGCAGTATTTACATTTACGTAAATAACAGAGACCATTTATCAGCTTGGTTACAAATACAATTTATCATATACACTGAAAGGCAATAAATTAAGACACTCAGAAGTCACTTTTCTCATAAGACTTAAGCAACCATTATAAAGAACAGTTAAAATTCTAGGAAGTTTAAGTCTGGTCACTGGAAACAAAGGAACAATTCTTGCCCATGGCAAATTTTTTGCAGGTGTTAACCACAATGGCTGCAATATTCACTACGTGCCAGCCATGACACTCAGTGCTTCACTTGGCTTTATGGGATATCCTCAGGAAAGTCCCCACTTCTGAAAATTTCCTTGTAATTACTATGCAATGATTTTTTTCCTTCTTAGGTGAACAGAGAGTATCAATAATGGTGACTTTTTTCTTTATGTGGCAAGTTGTCTTTTTGTCTCTTCAAAGAGTCAAAGAGAATAAAAATGGGATGGATTTGAAGTACGTTTTTCTGAAGACCCACAATCTCTGATGCAGGAAAGGTTATAAAAAGGACCAGGTCACTTCCTCTAAGGATGACCCAAGCCTGCTGAGACTCAGACAAGGAGCCACGGAAAACCATTCCCCCATCTTCAAGATCCAATCAGCGAGGCAGCCATGCCAGTTTGGGGGTCCACCTTCAGGCTAATGTCTGAGGTTGGTGTGGGTCATACCCTGGTATTATGTGTTCTTGTCACTTGATGGGGAATGAGGTGAGGTATGTGTGGATTAGAAGGGAAGACAGAGGGCTCAGTCCCTGAATTTTAGTGTTCTCAAATTTCCACTTTATTTGGATTAAAAGAACTGAGGTAACAACGTAAAAAAGGCACATTAGTTGCCTATCCAGTATTCATCCCCTTTCTTCGTTACTAAAAGAATCCCAATTTTGCTCAAGGTAGCAAATTGCCCAACTAAAGCTCTTTCATTCCCCAGACTCTCTTGTAAGAGAGAATGACCCCATTCTGGCCAATGACATGGTAGACAAAAGCTCCTGGGGAAGAATCTGGTCCTCAAGTAAAACGCAAAGCTTCGTGAAGCGCCCACAGACACAACGCCTTGAGATGCAGCAGCCACCTTACGCCTAGAAGAAAAGAGCCACAGCCTAAGGACGACAGCAAGGTAGAAAGAGTAAGATTCCTAATGGCATAGCCCTGGACTGCGCATCTCTGCATTTTCTTGGTAGCAGGAAAAATTAAAAAACAGCCCTCGGGGCCGGCCCGTGGCTTAGCGGTTAAGTGCACGCGCTCTGCTGCTGGTGGCCCGGGTTCAGATCCCGGGCGCACACCGACGCACCGCTTCTCCGGCCATGCTGAGGCCGCGTCCCACACACAGCAACTAGAAGGATGTGCAGCTATGACATACAACTATCTACTGGGGCTTTGGGGAATAAAAGGAGGAGGACTGGCAATAGATGTTAGCTCAGAGCCGGTCTTCCTCAGCAAAAGAGGAGGATTAGTATGGATGTTAGCTCAGGGCTGATCGTCCTCACAAAAAAAAATAATAATAAACACAGCCCTACTTGTTTAAGCCACTACTTCTCTGGTTTTCTCTTACAGCCAAACACATTCTTAACTGATATATTCAGAGAGCAAGCATATCTAATCTTGGCCGATCCTATACCACAAAACTTTACCAATTAATCTTTACAACATCCTAAGTGATGGATATTTTTATGTACATTTTACATACAAAGAAAATGAAGCACAGAGAGTTTGATTCTGGTTACAGAATTGGAATTCTAACCCAAGGATGAAAGACCTCAAAGCCTACATTACCTTGATTTAGAAATTCAAATAGAACCCATCCATGTAGAATCTTCAGAGTACTAAACAAACATTTTCAATTGAAGCCCAAAGTTCAAAAATATCTACTGGCTAATGAGCTTCATAGACAAAATATACTAATTTTTCAGGGAAATGGTAATGTGAAAAAAAACAATAATAGGCTCAAAATGGCCCCCACGACAGCAAACCAACTGCAATTAATTGCAGTTTCAACTTCTCCCAGCAATATAATCTTAATCAACCAGTCTGGCATTTTCTGGTCAGTACCAATGAGGTGATCTGTCATGTAGGCCCTCTCCATCCCCCAGAGTAATGAGAGGCAATCTATATGATAAAACCCTTGTGGTCCCTTCCCTCTCAAAGAGAAGATGTCCTGGCCCAAATAATCCTTTCTTTTCTTTTGCTAATATCTCCCTTGCCCCACCCTTCTTCCTATGAAAACTTTCCATTTTGTACAACCACTCAGAGTATCTCTCTGCTTGTTAGATGAGATGCTGCCTGAGTCATGAATCGCCTAATAAAGCCAACTAGATCTTCAGATTTACTCAGTTGAATTTTGTTTTTTAACAGCGAGTAGTAGTGTGGTTGGTATTACTTTCTGAGGGGTTATTGTGTGCAACTGCCTCATTTCTCTTTACACTACATCATTAGTTGTGAGCAGCTGTAGATGCAGCAGTGGCTAACTTATAAGACCAAAATCCTGTAGAGTATAAATCAAGCAATTTTCAAAGACAGTCATTTTATTTACATAATTAAAGTGACCTTCTTTGAAAAAAATACATATGCCATATATATGCTATTGATTTTGTTGAGACTTTTTTCCAAGTGAGGATGGCCTATTTTAATAACAAAGAGCTGATTTAAAATGGAGTCTAGAAGAACATTAATAATTATCTTTACCTTGGAGAAATCTAAATGAAGTTAATTGATTTAGTAGCGACTTTGGAATCACAGAGATTCATTAAGCAATACAAGACCACCGGAACAAAGATAATACAGATATTTAGAAAGAATTAATTCGAAACAACTCCACATAAGGCTAAAACAAAGATTTGCCAAAATAAAGACTACTAAATGACAGGAAGGACAAGGACTTTACAACATAAAACAAAGTAGATTTTTCTTTAAATGTTTCATCAAGAGATTCAGTCAGTGTAAATTCATAGATATAAAAAACTCACTTTTTTCCAAAAGCAATATAGTTATTAAAATACTACAAAATCTAGTATTTGTGGTGTATGTGGGATAAAGGGGGGGATACTTGGCTCCTTCTGAGTATCTTTACATTAGAAAAATACTCTGAACAATAACAACGAACTATCCAAAAAAAGAAATTAAGAAAACAAGCCAATTTACATCAGCATCAGAAAGAATAAAATACGTAGGAATAAACTCAACCAAGAAGGAAAAGACTGGTACACTGAAAACTATAAATACTAATGAAAGAAATTAAAATAGACATAAATATATGGAAATATATCACATGTTTATGGGATGGAAGAATTAATATTGTTAAAATGTCCATACTACCCAAAGTAATCTACAGGTTTAATTCAATCCCTATAAAAATTCCAATGACATTTTTTACAGATATAGAAAAAAAAAATCCTAAAATTCATATAGGACCGCAAAAGACCCTGAATAGCCAAAGCAATTTTGAGCAAGAACAAATCAGAATCACCTACTAATTTCCAAATCTATAACAAATCTACAGAAATCAAAACAATATGGCACCAGCATAAAAACAGACATGCAGACCAATGGAACAGAATAGACAGCCCAGAAATAAACCCACGTATATATGGTCAACTGATGTTCGACAAGGGAGCCAAGAATACTCAATGAGGAAAAGATAATCTCCTCAATCAACAGCATTGGGAAAACTGGATATCCACATGCAAAAGAATGAAATTGAGCCCTTATCTTACACCATACACAAAAATCAACTCAGAACGGATTAAAGATTTAAATTTAAGACCTGAAAGGGTAAAACTCCTAGAATACAACATAGGGGAAAAGTTTTTTGACATTGGTCTTGGCAATAATTTTTTGGATGTGACTCCAAAAGCACAAGCAACAAAAGCAAAAATAGACAAGTGAGACTACACCAAACTAAAAAGCTCATGAACAGCAAAGGAAACAATCAACAAATGAACAGGCAACTTATGGAACGTGA